GATGATATTGTGTTCTACTATAAGAATATGGATCAATTTATAGATCTCCAGAGTTTTCCTCTAAAAAAAAAATAAAGTTTTCCTTTCAGGAAAAGTTAAAACATTTATGATAATACTTTATTTTTCCTTATAGGAAAAAATAAACTTCAAATAAGGTAAGAAAATCAGGGCAAAACCCTAATATTATTCTTTCTATTTTATCCTTTGAAAATTACTCACTTCGTTTAAAAAAGAATGACCTAATTTGACTTAACACAGAGAAAATTAAGAAGTTTATTTTAAAATATACTGATCTTTGAAAATTTTAAAAATTCTAGCCAGAAAATTTGGCTAGAATTTGGCCAGAAATTTTAAAAAACTATAATATTTTTTTTATTTTAAAATATACTGATCTTTTTTTCATTTTTTAACTAAAAGATATTAAAGTTAAAAAGGTAATAAAAGATAGTTACCAAAAAAAAAAGTTAAAAAAATAAAAATGTTTAAAAAGGTAAAACCATTCTGGCCAAAAGGATTTTTCCAAATATTATTTATCATCTAACACACTTTTCAAAGCATTAAATTTAATAAAGTCAAAGGATAATACAGTAATATTACTCATATTATTTATTGTTTCTTAAAGGGTGTATCAAGTCAATAGTGGATGATTATTGTTGGACAGAGGGAGTATCATTTAATCTTGTGCTCTTAAATATGTCACGTAGAAAACTAAAATTAAAGTGTTACCATAAAAGGAAAGAAATCATTATTTTTAAACAAACTAAAAAAAAGCAAGTCATTCTTTTTTAAACGAAAGGAAACATAGAAAACCTAAATAAGTAATCCATGTACGAAAATTTGACTTCAAGAGAACATCAAATAAGGGTACAAGGATAATTCACTTAGTTTTTTTTTAAGGGGCATGAAACATAAAATGATGACAACTAAATAGAAACAGAGAAAGTATAGGTGGAGTTTAAAGTTTAACGGGTAAATTAAATTTTAAATATGTGGTGTTTAAAGTTTTAATATTTGCATTTAAAGTTTGGTGGCTCGTCAAAATCTGACTTCACACAAGTTGAAAGCATTGTAGTTTTCGGGAAATTTATGCAAGGCTTATATGACCTCGAATTTGAAATACAAGATTCAAATATCATAAAAAGAAAATTAATCATCAATTTACCAAAACAATAAATTTAATTAACAAATTCATTATACAATAATTGTGATTTATCAATATTTGCAAACTTTTCGAGAAAAAACATAAGTACCCCTCTCAGTCTATGGCTGAATTTTGAACGACACACTCTCTTTATGGGTATCCTATTACACCACTCCACTTCAACAATTCAATTCGACATTTCATTTCTCTCTGTAGAAATCTCACGTCTAGGATTAGAAAAATCAAGAATTGTATTGATGATTAAAATTGTTAAGTACATACTCCTTATATAGGGAGAAAATTGTAGAGTCCTAAGTTAACTATACTTAGAGTCCTACTACAATACCTTTTACTACTATAATAATAATAATAATGTAATTTAAATAATCTAATCCTAGTCGTAATATAATCCTAATCGTAATCTAATCCTAGTCGTAATCTAATCCTAATAGATATAAGTAGTCTAATCCTAGTGCGACTCTAATTCTACAACAGTGTTGTAAACTCGTAGTCAGTTCCGTTAGACCTGTTCCAATCGTCAGCTTTCTTCTTCATCAACACTTGATGCAGACACGTCAGTCAGCTTCGTTGGACCTATTCCTTTGACATGTTCCAATCGCCAGCTTCCTTCTTCTTCAACACTTCCCATCAAGCTAGTGAGTAGAGGAACGGTTACTCCTACCTTGATTCAAATGCCTAGCAAAAAAAAACTTTGAATACCAGCAAAAACTTGTTTTGTCAATGCTTCGGTATAAATGTGATGTCTAGTCATTGCTTGTGATAGTTCATCTGCAAATTGATACGAGTAGGTCCACCAGTAAAAACACTAAAGAGCAGTATGATTATTCCTACCACAGATTTGACATGACTCAATATTATTCTTCTCCTTATTTTCACTTTGGAAACTTTTATTGTTCAAAGAACTTGGTCCATATTGATTGCTCTGAGAACGTGTTCCCTGTCCAACAGGCTTGAAACCTGTTTCTCTGGAGTTGATGTTGTTGTTTCCTCTTCCCTTGCCTAATATGACATAGGTCTTGTATTTGAGACCTAAACCTCTAACAAAATTAATAATTTTTGTTGCTTGAATATAAGATTTTTCTAAGCATTCCCACATCTCCTTGGCAGTTGAGCAGTCCACAATTAAGTACATGCTTTCTTCGATCAAGGTGCTTGAGATCCAACTCATTAGCAACACATCTTTCTCCTTCCAATCATCAATGGTGCCACTATCTTTTGCATCCTTCCTAACCGCTATAACTTCCCTAGCAGTTTGTCCAGTGGAACAACTACTTTTACTTGGTTTATAGATAAGATACGTTAGTTTCATCACCTGAATCAATTGGGATATTTGTGTCCTCTTTATGAGGTAGTTTGTTGGCTTAAGTTTAATGGAGCAAGCGACAATGACTTGGTGAGGTGAGGAGGTTGACATGGTTTTGGTAGAAGAGGCCATTGCAACGTGTGGTTTTTTTTTTTCTTTTGATCAATACTCAGAAAGTGGAAGAGCTTTTATGTTCTGATACCATGTAAAGATATGGCACATGAGCCTAACTCAACCCCAAAAGCTAGCTTATGAGGGGAGGTTTGTCCAAGTCCATATAAGGAGACCAAATTCCCATCCCTCTACCGATGTGGACTTCATAACATTCCCCCGCATGCCCAGACCTCAACTGGAGCGTGAACACTTCTAAATGGGGGCCCAACATCAGTGAACAACAAATTGTGATGGGCCTGGCTCTGATATAATCCTAGTCGTAATCTAATCTTAATCGTAATCTAATCCTAGTCGTAATATAATCCTAATAGATATAAGTAGTCTAATCCTAGTGCGACTCTAATTCTACAACAGTGTTGTAAACTCGTAGTCAGCTTCGTTGGACCTGTTCCAATCGTCAACTTCCTTCTTCTTCAACACTCTCTTCATCATTTGATATTTTTGCATCTAAGAGCTAATGCTACAATAGGAGTACAGTTGGATAACAAGTGATTTGTGATCAATAAAAAGTAAGTACCACCGGATTCTGTATCCATCAACCTGGGATCCTCACCTTAGACATTTTCATTTGGTTATGAAAGAAAATTTTATCCCCCAATGTTAAGATCTCTATCAAGCACTCATCTACATACCTTAAAACTAAGAGAATCTGATAAAAGCAATTCAAAGATATGCCACATTGATGAAAGGCCTCTCAAGAGGAAGTGGGTTGCATTATGTATATTGAAAATCTCCCCTCTAGGTTATGAAGACACAAAGACCAATTACTGAGTGTGCCACAAATATACGATGATGATAGAAAGCCAGGTTCTGATCATTTCAGGGAATGAACTATTATAGAACTAGAAACTTGCTTCTTTGAAGAAAATGGAACAAGAAAATCTACAAGCAAACACCATGAATCCTCTAAATAAGCAAACATCAAGTCTTTTAAGTTCAAGAAATTGAGTTATAAATGTTGCACAATCAATCAAGGAATAAAAGATCTCAGCTGGTCCATAGATTGCAAAACTCATATTCAATGAAGACAACAAAAAGTGTTCATATGATCTGATTGTTTGAAAATAGAAGAAGCTTGCAAGAGGATGTTAATGATGGGAGATAAGTCATACACAACATATGGTAATTTATCAAATCAAGAAATTGTGTTGTGAACCAAGGTGAGCAAGAAATCACTATATCAAAAACCTGGTTTTTCGAAAGTTTTACATGAAAAATAATTGATAGGAGGATGAGCATGACTATAAAGTAAAGAAAAGACTAATTCTCTTGAATAATGCTTACCATAACTTTTTTGGAGAGGAACACCTTGAAGCTTGATTTTGATCAAGATGAAATCAAAAGACACATGATTCCTTCAATGATTGGCTTTGATCAGACATTGTTTTAGTGGATATAAGTAAGATAAATATTTAGCAGTCTTATACCCTAAATAGTATGCATACACATAATATGATCAAAAAGGATGAGGACTAATGATGTTATTCCTATTCTTGAAGAACACACCATAGAGTAGCCATAACAATCAGCACCACCACTAATCACCTGTCATAACAACCAACACCACACTATCGTCAACCACCTCTGCCATCACTATTGGCCACTACAACCAATTCCTACTATCAACTACCTCCACCATCAACATCATTGGCAAATACCACACATGCTTCAGCCACCATCACAAATATACCACCATTTACCAACACCAACTACCTCACCATCACTATCATAGCATCTCCATCATCACTAGTGAACGCAAATATTCTTTTTCTTTATTTTCAAATAATAATTTTATTATATATATTTTCTAATATTTAACTACTCACTTTTTATTTAAATTGTATATTTATTTATGTTTAGAAACAAATAACTATGCACATTCCTATGTTGAAAAACAAAAAGTTTTAATCATTCAATATTCAAATTTAGAGACATCTTAATTCATTTAGCTGTTCATCCAAATTAAAGTATCTTAATCTTACAAAAAACAAATGGGCTTATGGTAAATGTAAAACCTTTTGCAGGGATTATAGTTGAGCTAAACAATAAGAAGAAACCAATACCTTTTGAACACTAATCATTGAAAATGCAAACGGGTTATGAACAGTGAAGAAAAATGTGACAGAAAGATAGCAACTGAGTGTTCAAATGGCTCCCATCATTGTGAACTGGTAAACATGTCTTACAAACAAAAAATAAACAAAGTAGCCTCAGTAACCAAAAATATAAGGGTCGAGAAAAGAGCCTGTGAAATTTCAAATGATTACTTATATTCTGATAAAGCAAATACTCACTCATGCACCAGATATATATAGCATAACTACAAATGAATAACAAGAAAAACATTGCAGGAAGCAGATAAAGGATAAGCCAAATATACAAGGAATTTTGTACTTCACAACAAACCAATATTACCAAGTTAAACTAGGAACAAAGTCCTCCCTGCGAATGATCAAAATTTTAAATAATAAAGCCAGGTCAAAAAATTTAATCATTGTATTTTCTCCCACAAAGTTAGAACTGTGTCCAATGCCTTCAAGAACATTTATGCTCTACCTTTATCCTTCCATTCACTCTTGTTTTGTTCGGGAGTCTGATGAGTCCCCGTCTTGATTTTGCCCCAACTGCTTTACACTAGCTTTGGCCTCTGCCAGGAATTTAGGATCAGGCTCATGTTTATCTGAGGGTTCTCTCATTGCCAGACAAATGTAAAATGCAATAACCACATTGACCGATATGACAGCAACGAATCCACTCACTAATGTCATAGAATGGGGAGACATGTCGGTCACACCTGTTCCAAATTGATAATGATTAGTGTAGAATCATAATTTCATAATCCACTTAGACTACCAAGGAAAAAAATATCAGTCCAGAAAAGCATAATAAGTATGCTATTTCATGAAGATATCAGCCTTCTAGATTAACAAGAAAAGAAGTTATTTATCTTAATGCTAATAGTACCAAGAAGAACAAGAAAAGAACAATGTTTCCAGCACACTGAAATGCACGTCAGGGGAATATACGTTAGACGTAATATAGTTGTGATAACGATGACGCTATTTACTATTTTATAGTTCGACTCAAACCTCATACTATGCATCAGACATAGTTGAAAGATCTCTCTCTAGAACAATGCATGAAGCATTAAAGTTTTTCTCAAAGCTTTCATCCTGGTGAAAATATTTGGCTGTATTAATAGGTCCTGTTTTGTGGCTGTCTGACACTTGGGATAAAAGGCCGCTGTGAAGCCATCTAAAATCCAGTGCTTATTCTTTACATTTCCATAATAGTATCAACCAATATTTCTAGAGGTGGAAAATGGACGGATCCGGTCAAATTTCAGTTGGTCGACATGGGTCAAGTCAGCGAAACAGGTCATAACCCAACTCGGACAAATTTTATTTGGGTAAATATGGGTGGGGTGGTATGTATAAAATAATGGGACATAACCCAACCCGCCCAACATAACCCGAGTATTCTCTCTTTTATAAATGGACCAAATTATAAAACTAGCCCAAATACTTATTCACAAGTTCTAACAAGAGTAATTCTGTGGCCAAATTACGAAATTTCAACTGAGATACTTCTTGTTCTCTGCTCAATTAGTATTAATGATTATATAACAACAACAAACTCGGTGAAATCCCACTAAGTTGGGTCTGGGAGGGTAGAGTGTACGTAGACCTTACCACTACCTCAAAGAGGTAGAGAGGTTGTTTCTGACTAAGTTGCTCAGACTCGGGTGCGGGTGTCTGATACGGGTGCGGATCTAGAGGTCGGATCCTTCATGATTTAATTTTTCAGATTCGGGGATATGGATCCATGTATGGATACGGGTGCGGGGATTCGCCTAAAAATAATTAAAATATCTAAAAATAGAGTTATAAAACCCAAATTATGAGATATTATGTAGAGAACTTGAGGAAAAGCTTGGAAGCAGATTGAAGGAAAAAGAGTGACATAGAAATTTCTACATAAAAGGTATTCCATTTTCTTCAATTTCACCTAAGCTTTTGTATTGATTAGAGGAATCATTAAAATCGTCCAGAGCCTGATGCCTCTATTACTGAAACATGGAGCCAGCAGGGTTGGATTTTAGCTTCAGGAGACTACCAAATGACTGGGAGGTAATCAGAGTGAGTTCCTCAAGATACTGGACAACTACAAGGGATTAGGGACCAATTGAGCAAGTGGATAGACTGTCATGGGATACCAACAAAAGTGTAAAATATGCATATAAGATTTTAAACAGCTCAGTACACCAACAAGGGCTCTGGCTATAGAAACATATCTGGATTTTGAAGGTCCCTTTCAAAGTAACTGTGTTTTGCCGGTTTGTGGTTAAAGAAGTTCTCCCGAAACATGAGAGCTTAATGAAGAGAGGAACATAACCATGTTCAAAATGTTTTTTAGTGTAGCAGGGCCAATGAAACAAATAACCATCTTTTCCTCTATTGCCAGGTAACCAATAGACTTTGGCAGCTCTTTTGAGTATTAAAGGTTTGAGTTGGGTAGTGCCTAGAGATACTGTGGAAATGTTGGTTTGCTGGGACAAATTAGCTGCACACCAAGTCAGAAGAAGTGGTGGGGTATCATCCTGGCATTGGCATGTATATGGTGAACAGCGTGGCTGGAAAGGAACTCCAAATGTTTTGAAGACACAGCAAATTCTGAACAGGAGATTCAAATGAATTATATATTATTATTCACTTTTGATGTAAACAAGCTTTAGTACAGGATGTAGAGTCCTTAGTTAACCTCATTGGGTCCTTGTAACTGACACAAGACTGTCTTTTGCTTTTGTTTTTTCTCTCCTTTTTGGAAGTCTTGTATCTTAGGGGTTATTTCTCTTAGCAGTATCTTTGTGCTGAACTTATTGTTATTAATGAATTCTGTTACCATCTCAAAACACAGGGGAAAAAGAACTTGAAATGAGTGATATATGTGCGACATACAAAACCATTCAGGAGCAAATTAAGTACTAAAATCATAGAGAAACCTCAAATATTTACAGAATTAATTCATAAGACTTGAGTTAATATTGTAGTTTGTTAAGATAAAACAAATTCTGTCATTGACCATACAGCAGGTCTTCAATCACGATATAAATGGCATTCCATCCTTCCAGTGCTGCCGATGGGAATTGATTTGTAACTCCAAACAGTACTCACAAAAAGAACTATTATGATAATGAGAAACAAAAGATGAAAAGGAAAGTGTTTATAGAAGTCACAAGAACAGAGATTCTGCAGAGGTTGGGAACCAACAGGAGATAGTGCTACGCCATCTAACCGCTCACAATTTCAACTTAATAATCTAAGATGACAATATCCTATTATGATTCCCTTATTACATCAGCAAAAATTGTCTCAAAAACTCATCCATCTAGAACATTTCATAATAATTGCACATAAGTTTCCAGTAACTTCTTATTAATATCATCTAGAAGTACCCCAAATGGTGACAGGTTCTCTGGCAACATAGCATGGATATTATACTTCTCTTCTCCTAGCTATTGTATCATGTATTTGATTGATATTCTTTGTTATATAAAACTATTAATAGATAGAGCAGGAATCAAGCAAGCATTGATTGGGTAATCACCCAGATATGTATCATAGAAGCTCAGCACAGCTATACTTGGCCGCACCATGAGGCAAACTAGTCACAAATCTGTCATAAGTACCTGCTATATTTCATCATCTTCCACTCTATCCATGTTATGGTCAATTAATAACTTAAGAAGTGGAACTCTCAGTATTTGTCCCTCGGAGGTAGACTCAGTCTGATTAATGTTGTCTTGGATGCTTTGCCTACTTGTATGCTTCCCTATTCCCAATCCCTTCCGGAGTCACTCAAAGACTGGACAAGATCAGAAGATTCTTCCTTTGGCAAGGTAACAAGGAAAAAAGAGCTTTTCACCTAGTCAATTGAAAGGAAATCATCAGAAGCAAGAAACAAGGGGGACTTGGCATCAGGAATTTGAAGCATCATAGCAAAGCTGTGAAGCTTAAATGGATCTAGAGATATTCACAGGCTCCTCAAACACTATGGAGCAGAGTCATAAAGAGCAAGTATGGGGAATAGGACAGTTGGGTTTCCAAGGAGGTCATACTCCATATGGAATCAATCTTTGGAGGACTATCAGAAGCTATTGGCTTTTTCTCAAAAAATACTCCCACATCCAGCATTTTGGACGGCAAACGGCGACAAAGAAGACGACAAGGATCTGCCTCGCCTTGCGGCGAGGAGCTCGCCTTTTGAATTGAGGCGTCAATTAATACCAAAATCTTCAAATATTTAATTGCATATATAAATATCCAAAATCTCAATAGCAATAACATATATTAGCAAATACTATATTAATTAATATAAAACTAAATTGAGTAGGGCAGAAATAAATATAAAATGTAGGCAGATTGCAGTAATGCAGTCAGTTAACAGTAGCTTCAAAATAAAAAACAAAGTAAAAAACAGAGTCTGCACTTCATCTTCTGCATATGAAAGAAGAAGAAGAGAAGAAAAAAAAATCTAAAACCATACCTATTGAGTGCTGAGTAGCTGAGGTCTCATCGTCAGTAGTGAGGAGAACTGGAGAAGAGAAGAAATTCGCGAAGTAGTGAGGGAGGAGAACTGGAGAAGAGAGTCGCGAAGCAGTGAGGGAGGAGAACTGGAGAAGAGAGGGTCGTGATTCGCGAAGGTGCGAGGAGAGTCGCGACGGAGAGAAGTCCTAGGTTCGTAAAAACGCCAAATAAACCCTAATATTGACTTTTAATTATTAAATCAGATCTTTAAAAAAAAAAAAGTGACGCCTTGTCGCCTCACCTCGCAGCGTCACCATTCGCCTTTTGGTCGCCTTTCTGAACTCGCCACGCCTCATCGTCTTTGGTGAGGGGCGAGCACCTTTCAGAACACTGCCCACATCAGAGTGGTTAATGGGAACAAGACCAGGTTTAGAAAGACAAATGGATCGGGACAAGGAGCTTTAAAGACATGTTTCCAGATTTCTTTGTTATAGCCTTAGACCAACATAAATGAGTTGCCGAGATGTGGACACAACAAGGGTGGGACCTTAGATTCAGAAGAATGTTGAATGATTGGGAGATACCTAGACTTGTGGAACTGTTTAACCAGTTGGAGAGTTATCAAGGGTTACAAGAAGGTGCAGATTGCCTATGGTGGAGTGGACATGAAAGTGGAGCATATAAGGTCACCTGGCTTCTAGCTAAAGAAGCAATTTTGACACATGAAAACTTGATCAAAAGGAATATTGCTCTCTGCTCTAGATGATTCCTTTGCGAAAAGGAAGCTGAGACAATAACCCATTTGTTCCTACACTGCAGTATTACAGATCAACTATGGAAGATTTTCATCAATCTAAAAAGCATAGACTGGACAATGCCAAGCAAGATTGTTGACACTCTTTTTAGCTGGGAGGAAGCAAGAGCGGGTCCAGGAAACAGAGAGAGATGGAGGATCATCCCATCATGTAGTTGATGGACTATTTGGAAGGAAAGAAATGATAGATGTTTGAGGATAGGAGGAGTTTAGTACAGGATATTATGCTAAAATGCATTTTGCTTTTCTGTTTTTGGTGCACCAAACTGTATGTTAGTGATACTGAATCAATCCTAGATGTCCTAGGCACCATTTAGGATTGGTTCATATCTGGTATATTATGCATCCAATCCATTTGTAAATTGTTTTTTCCAGTACTACCTAAGTACTGGTTTCAATACAAAGTTACATTACTCAAAAAAAAGTTGGCCCGGACACCACAGTCATCAAAAAAACAAAAAAATAACTTAAAGAAAAATGTCACGTGTGCTATTTAAGACATAAGCAAGGGGCACATTTAAGAGTGATCTACCAAACCTTACAACCCCCAGCCAACAAACAAGTTTTCTTCTTTCTCATTTGAATATTTGACAAAAGACAACTTCATAATTCTCTATTCACCATGACAAACCTCTCCCATTCTCGAGCAGAGCTCGGTGTCAGTATAATCACACAATCAGCATAAAACATAACTACAACAATCCCCTCACCAATATCCCATTAATTCAATTGACAGAACATATTGTGAAGCCAGCATATAATTATTTTCCCTGGAACTTAGATAAAAGTGTGAAACAACTTTGGTTCCCTTTGGATACATTGACTCAGATAGGCAAAGAAATTATCATCTCAACCACCAAAGACTACAGGGCAACAATTGTTGAGCATTAATGGGCATAAATCTACCACACTTATTCTCATGTTCCATAAACTGATGGGTACGAACAAAATACCACTGTGATCAAATGTAAAAGCACAAAAAAGAAAAGGGCAAGATTCTCAAGCATAACAATGGGAAAAAAGGCATAGTCAAAGATTTTTGAATAATGAATTAGTCAGAAGAGAATATATTAGTTATCTAAGACCAAACAATACCTACTTTAGACGGGCTATCAGCTTCTGGCACATATGATAGTCCAGATTTTTAAACCAAATCTTTTATCAAGTAAAATTTGCATCAGAAAAATTCAGGGAAGCTTTTCTTAAAAAAAATATAAATAGGGAAAGCTTACCAGGAATTAAGTTGTGATTGAAGGCGTACAAAATTGCAATTGGAGCTGCCCACATAATCAACGATGTAATAAAGAACTTATTAACAACTCCCGCCATAGTTGCTGCTGTCAACCTGTGAGATGAAACAGAGAGGATTAAGTATAATCTGATAGAATCGTCTATGAAAGGACAGAAAAAAGAACCCAATTAAAATGAACCTGAATCATGGAAAAAAGGATCATAAGGTAACCTCTCTTTTTTCCTTCATACATCATTCTCGTCATAGACATGGACAGTTTTTATTTTTTGATAAAGTAATTAAATGATATTCGAAAGCATCAAGAAGATGCGAAGTTACAAAAGCACAGTGTGCAAGAAAGCTGCTCCAAACAGAAAAATATGGAGCTAGGCAAAAACTTGTGAAACGGTCAATAGGGAACCCTACTACTCTACTGTACTAGAGATAAGGGAACGAACTAACAAAATCCAAAAGGTTATCCACACTGTTTACATTGGCAAAAAAGTGCCAGCTAAATAAACTAACTAGACATTGGGCTTTAAGAGTACAGAAAGAGGTTGATATTCCATTAAAGCATCTGTTGTTTCTCTCTTTCCGTATACTCCAAAAAATGGCTGCTGGGATCATTCTCCAGATCTTTCTGATGGATTTGTCAACTCTCCACAATATCCAACTGGCATAAGCATCCTTCATGTTGTAGGGCATTACCCATTGTATGCCAAGCATAGAGTAGAAAAAATACCATAGACTAACTGCTGCAGGGCAGTGCAAAAAAGGTGATTAACACTCTCATTGGTTTGCTTGCACATGACACATCTGTTGATGAGGATTACACCTTTTTTCCTGAGGTTGTCTTGTGCTAGGCATACTTCCTTCAAGGCAGTCCAGGTGAAACAAGAAACTATGAGGGCTTGCCTAGTTTTCCAGACATGTTTCCAAGACCAAATTAGTAGAATGCCATTCTGGGAGCTCATATTTTTGTAGCACTCTTTCACAGTGTAGGTCTTCTCCTTAGAATTACCCCAAAGAATCTTGTCTTGATCTTCGACCACCATTGTAGTGTTTTGCAGAGTTTCTAAGAGGGAAAGGAGGTCATTAATCTCCCAATCTTGAAAGTTCCTTCTGAAAATAAGGAGTCCAATAGTTGTTGTCTCTGTACTGGGCTATAGTTGCCTCTTTGTCGGAGGCTATCTGGAACAAGGAGGGGAAATAGTCTTTTAGCCTAGAGTTCCCAAGCCATTTGTCTTGCCAAAATCTGATCTCGAGTCCATTACCAGCCTTGAAGGATACTTCCCCGAAGAAATTATCTTGGAAACTGCTTATGTGTTTCCAGACCCCAACACCATGGGGTTCAGTGCTTTTCATTGGACACCAGTGATCTTGAATGCCATATTTAGCCTTGATGATGTCTCTCCAAAACCCAACCTCAGTTTGTCCATATCTCCAGAGCCACTTCTCCTTCTGAGACTATCCATTTGTTTCAAAATTGAACTTGGTATTGGAAATAGAGACATGCAGTACGTAGGAATATTGTCTAGTACATTGCTGATGAGAGTGAGCCTACCTCCCATGGAGAGGTATTGCATTTTCCATGTAGCAAGTCTCTTTTCCATTTTTTCAATAACTCCATTCCAAATTCCAGAAGATTTGAAACTTGCCCCCAGGGGAAGACCTAGATAGGTGGTGGGTAAGGAGCCTGTTTTGCAACCAAGTATGCCAGCAAGTTCCTCTAGATTGGCCACCTGATTAACCGGATATATAACATAGAGCATGTTAAAATAGAGTCTAGAGATAGCTTCAAAAACTATAAGGGTGGTGTTGAGATTGGAGATTGTTGCCTATCAGCTCCACAAAAAATGAGAGTGTCGTCTGCATAAAGAAGGTGAGAGACATTGACAGTGGTGGCTGGATTGCTGCCTACTTGAAATCCTTGAATCCATTGAAGTTCTTTAGCCCTAGCTAGAAACTGAGATAGTCCTTCCATAGCCTGAATGAATAGAAAAGAAGAGAGTGGATCCCCTGCCTCAACCCCTTTTGAGTAGAGAAAAATCCAACTAGACTTCTGAACTTGGTAACTTCTATCACCAAAGCCCAATTGTTTTTTTGAACTTGGTAACTTCTATCACCAAAGCCCAATTGTTTCAGTATGTTGACTAGATATGCCCAGTTAAGCTGGTCAAAGGCTTTCTCTATGTCCAATTTGCATAAGATCCCATACTCACCACTCTTGATTCTCCGGTCTAGCACCTCATTAGCAATTAAGGATGCATCAGTTATCTGCCTATTCTTTAAAAATGCACTCTGCTGCCCCGAGACTAAAGAATTCACCACCTTTTTCATCCTTTCTGCTAGGTTTTAGCCAACAACTTATAGACACTGCCTATGAGGCTTATAGGTCGATAGTCTTTAAGCTCTACAGCACCTTTCTTCTTTGGGATTAGAGCAATAAAAGAAGCATTACTAGACCTCACCATTTGGCAATTCTGGTGAAAGAAATTGAAAGCTGCTAGTATATCATCTTTAATGAAGCACCGTGATTTTTGGAAGAAAGCCATGGTGTAACCATCAGGGCCTGGGGCTTTGTCAGGGGCACAAGCCATAAGAGCACTAGAGATCTCCAATTCAGTGAAAGGAAGTTCAAGTTCCTCCTTTTCTTCTATACTAAGGGTGGACATGTTCTCAAAAACAGCTGAGGGTCTCCAGGATTTAGCTTCCTTGTATATTTGTTGATAATACTCCAGAATGCCATCCTTTGTCCTTCATTTATCTTCAATCAGTTCATCTCCTATTCTCAATCTGTCATTGGAGTTACCCTTCTATATGAATTGGCCATTCTCCGAAAGAACTTTGTGTTCTTGTCCCCCTCTTTAAGCCATAAGCATTTAGATTTTTGCCTCAATGAGATCTCTTCAGCTGTTGCAATTTGTTGAAGCTGCAGTTTCAGATTCAAGGACTGTGTTTTCTCGTGTTGAAAGGGTTCTGATTTCAGCTAATTGATCCAACTTCCCCAGTTCCAAAAGAGCTTTAGTTTTTGGGTTTCAATGTTTCCATACACCTCTCTGGTCCATTTAGAAATGTCTTTCTTTAGGTTTTTGAGTTTCTGTAACAGCACAAAGTCTGGGGTGCCCTGGATAATGTAGGACTGCCACTATCCTTTTATCATATCAATGAAGTCTTCCGCTTGAAGCCACATGTTCTCAAATTTGAAGTAGGATGGTGATGCCTCCCAATCTCCACTTTCCAGGATGATGGGTTTATGATCTGAAATTACTTTTGGCATTGTGTATTGTTTGATAGCTCTGAACATCTCACTCCATTCTGATGAATAAAGAAACCTGTCATTTCTTGAGGCTTGGAGTGTCTCCTCCCCTCTAGACCAGGTGAACTGTGCTCCTTGGAGAGGAGGATCAATCAGTTCAAGATCCAAAATGGTATTGGAGAAACCTTGCATAGCACTGGATCTTCTAGTACAGTTTAGCCTTTCACCCTAGAATCTACACATATTGAAGTCTCCTCCTATGACCCATAGATCAGACCACAACCCCCTGATTGATGCTAACTCCAACCAAAGGTCCTCCCTTTCTGGATTGGTATGAGGTCCATATACTCTGGTGAACACCCAGTTGAAGTCTTCAGAGGTGCTCTCAAATCTACATGACAGGGAGAAGGCCCCTGCCTCTGACTCAACACAATTCCAAGCTCTTTTGTCCCATAAAATTAATAGCCCCCCTTTGGTGCCAATTGCTTCGACTTCTGCCCAGAAGAGCCAATTATTCCCCCATATTGTCTAATTAGAGATGGATTCCAAGACTCTATTTTGGTTTCCAGCAAACAAACAATGTTTGCTCCCCACTTTTGGATAAGAGATTTCAAAGTACTTCTGTTATCTTTATTATTGAGACCATGTACATTCCAATTGAGTATTTTAACTCTCATTTGGAATGAGCCTTGTGGCACCTGCCCCTATCTTTCTTTCCACTTCCATCTTGGAGACCCTAATCCAGTTTTTTAAGTTCATTTGTTGCTTTGATTTTCCCTTTTTTGGCATCCCCAGACTTCTTCCCTTGTTCAAGAATCTGAGTTTTCCTCTTTTCCTCTTTTCCTCCATTCTTATTCTTAATATAATATCCAGAATTTCATGCTCGAAACCTAAAACATTTACCCCAAGCACTTTGCGAGCCTTCATCATAGTAAATTTGGTCCATTTTGACGTTTCCACCACAGTCGGTGAATCAACAGTTTGTGGTGAATGATCATTATGCCACGGTAGAGGAAGAAAACTGTTGAACGACTGAGAAGAGAGACTGGAATTGGAATCGTACCCTGAGGTGGGAATAGGATCCTGTGTGTATATGCCCAAAGAAGGAGCAGATATTTCTGCTTCGTCATCCGCTTCAAGCTGAGAAAAGACTCCTGCCTTATGCTCCAAATTCTGGTGATTAGATGCTTGAACTTCCAATTCCAAAGGATCGAAGGATGTTGCACTGAAGGAAGTTGAAGGTTTGAAGTTGCATGGGTCTGCTTTGGCAATGGAGGCTCTCCATGATTGCATTCTGTTATGTTCCTTGTGTTGCTTCCTTTTGTTTGGGCTTTTGGAATAATAATCATTATTCCAGTCTGAATAAGTTCTCCCATGGTAGTGTCGGGCCGGCCCATTTAAATTTAAATTTAAATGACCCTTTCTTTTGTCCACAGATTCCTCACATGGATTTTTAACTCTGATGTCACGTGGGACTGTATGGGACTGTGCTCCCAGCAGCTTTTCAACCCTAGCCAACTCAGGGTTTTGTCCAGTGGGTAAAGGAGAGGACTGGATCTCTGTAATTAAAGCCAAATCGAACAACCAGCCAGCAAATGCGAAATTCAAACTTGCCGGGAATTTGACTGAATTTTTGACACAAATACGAGCCTAGAGAAAGTGGGATCTGTTCTTTGTATCTTCGTCAACTCCAATGAAACCTCCGCATTTATCCCCTATATGCTCGAATGTGTCCATGGTCCAAGCATTTAAGGGAATCCCAAATACTTTTAGCCAGATGTTTCCGGTGGCTCCCCTGTCTAAGAGTTGATGTTTTTTGACCACCACGACAGGGTGAGGTGCCTTCCGTTCCAAAACCATTCCCCAGCTTTAACTCTTATTGCTTCTTGTCTCGAAGGGAACTCGAAGAGGAATTTATTGTGGTCAAGGGGCGTGGCTTTGAAGCAAGCAGTGACTTTCCATCTAGAGATGAACCATTTTTGAATTAACTCAAGGCCATTGAAAGTGCCGATTAAGCTTCAGTGAAGAGGATGGTTATCATTGACTCCACCTATGCTTGCTGGTTGGCTGATTTCTGGCCAGCTTACTATGCTAGCAGCATCCCGATAGGATTTTGTCAATGGAGACGGTATTGGTGGTGGCCCTGACTTGTTGATTTCTCCAGAAATCGAATGATTTTAGTCGCGAAATCTGTCCACCCACTGTTATAGCTCATCTCCGGAATGATTACTGCAGCTTTAGAGGAGCCATGCCATACTTCAATGGGAACAAATCTGCCATATACGTTGAATTTTTGATAGACTCTGTATAGGTTGTGCTGTTGTTTTCTACCCCACCTTCTGTATAGTTGTCCAGAACCCTTTGAAGCTTGTACTAGGATCTCACATACCCATCTTAGATTGTGTGGATCTAAGACCTTACTTGTAAATCTCCTGCCTCTAATGTGTATCCCATGTATTCTTGAGTTCGAAAGATTTATCCCCACTAATGAAAAAGAGCTTTTCCTCCATAAGGAAAGAAAATTTCGGTGGTCTGAAGCTACCGGAGGAAAGGATTCCTCAGGCCGTAAGGACCTTTAGGAGATTGCCTTGGGACTAGTGCCTGAGAGCATTTTTTGTAATAATCTCTGACATGGACAGTTTTATGCAATAATCATAACTATATTACGTCTAAGGTATATTCCCCTGAGATGCATTTCAGAGTGCTGGAAACAGTGTTCTTTTCTTGTTCTTCTTGGTACTATTAGCATTAAGATAAATAACTTCTTTTCTTGTTAAACTAGAAGGTTGATATCTTCATGAAATGGCATACTTATTATGCTTTTCTGGACTGATATTTTTTTCCTTGGTAGTCTAAGTGGATTATGAAATTATGATTCTACACTATTCATTATCAATTTGGAACAAGTGTGACTGATATGTCTCCCCATTCTATGACATTAGTGAGTGGATTTGTTGTTGTCATACCAGTCAATGTGGTTATTGCATTTTATATTTGTCTGGCAATGAGAGAACCCTCAGATAAACATGAGCCTGATCCTAAATTTATGGCAGAGGCCAAAGCCAGTGTAAAGCAGTTGGGGCAAAATCAAGACGGGGACTCGTTGGACTCCCGAACAAAACAAGAGTGAATGGAAGGATAAAGGTAGGCATTGGACACAGTTCTAACTTTGTGGGAGAAAAGGGCACAATGATTAAATTTTTTGACCTGACTGTATTATTTAAAATTTTGATCATTTGCAAGGAGGACTTTGTTCCTAGTTTAACTTGGTGATATTGCCATATTGGTTTGTTGTGAAGTACAAACTTCCTTGTATATTTGGTTTATAGCGAGGATGACTGCAAAACTTACAAGACTCTAGATCGACATCCTCCTTAAAGTATAACATGCAACCTTTTTCACAACAATCAATTCTTATCGAGGAGAGTCCTAACTTAGACACCAATGCATTTGCTTTATAATAAGAAGCAGGAATCTCTACATTGGGATCAACTAATTCCTTCATAAGATCTATCATAGAGTCCATTACTCCTTGAGAAATATTATTGTCAGATTTGATACTTAACAATCTAACTGCAACAGACAGACAATTTAGAGTGTGGACTCCCATTGAACAAAGGACGACTACAATCACGCAATTGTTCATAAAAAGTGTTTGCTTCTTCATTGGGAGTTTCTTCTACATTTTCCCCAAATTCAAAATCAGAATGCATCTCAAAAGCATCATCAGCCATAACTGACATTCTAGAACCATGGACATAATTATGCACTATAGATCTACTACTTTCACCGACAATAAAGTTATTAAACATAGTGTCACTTTCAACCTCACCATGACTAGTCCAAATTGTATACCCTGGTTTGAATCCATTCATCATAAGATGCATAGCAACATCTCTGTTGTATGATATCTCACATTTTCACAATTAACACAAGGACACCTAATCAATCTTGAAGTTAAAAAATCATCAAGTGTCTTTGCTTGATTTTAAAACTAGTGACACCTTCTGCAAATTCCAGAATGATACCCGCTCGACCAGGATTGTTTCTATTATACATCCAACTACAATCAGATTCCATCTACACAAACAATAATGATAATTTTAAACTTTCAAATAATGAATCAAACAAGCTAAGGGTTAATTCAAAACTAGTTAGAGTTAATGTTGTTAAGTTGTTGAAATAAGTTCAAATAAACCACATTATATCAAATAATGAGTAAAACTAGCTAGGGGTTAATTAAGCTTTATTTGAACTTATTTCAACAACTAAACAATATTAACTCTAACTAGTTTTGAATTAACTCCACCAACTAAACCACATTATTTCAAATAATGAAAAACTAGCTAGGGGTTTATTAAACTTTATTTGAACTTATTTCAACAACTAAACAACATTAACTCTAATTAGTTTTGAATTGATTCCAACAACTAAATAACATTAACTCTAACTAGTTTTGAATTAATTCAACCAACTAAACCACATTATTTCAAATAAGGAGTAAAACTAGCTAGCGGTTAATTAAACTTTATTTGAACTTATTTCAACAACTAAACAATATTACCTCTAACTAGTTTTAAATTAATTCAACCAACTAAACCACATTATATCAAATAATGAATCAAACTAGCTAGGGGTTAATTAAACTTTATTTAAACTTATTTCAACAACTAAATAACAATAACTCTAACTAGTTTTGAATTAATTCTACCAACTAAATCCACCAACTAAACCACATTATTTAGTTGAACTTATTTCAACAACTAACAATATTAACTCTAACTAGTTTTGAATTAATTCCACCAACTAAACCACATTATTTCAAATAATGAATCAAACTAGCTAAGGGTTAATTAAACTATATTTGAACTTATTTCAACAACTAAACAACATTAACTCTAACTAGTTTTGAATTAATTCCACCAACTAAACCACATTATTTATTTGAACTTATTTCAACTACTAAACAACATTAACTCTAACTAATTTTGAATTAATTTCAATAACTAAACCACATTATTTCACTATTTCAAAAAACTAAACCACATTATTTCAAATAATGAGTCAAACTAGCTAGGGGTTAATTAAACTTTATTTGAACTTATTTCAACAACTAAACAACATTAACTCTAACTAGTTTTAACTTAATTCCAACAACTAAGCCACATTATTTCAAATAATGAGTCAAACTAGCTAGGGATTAATTAAACTTTATTTGAACTTATTTCAACAACTAAACAACATTAACTCTAACTAGTTTTGAATTAATTCCAACAACTAAATCCACCAACTAATAGGATCAACTAGAGTTGGTACTTATGCTTAACAAACACATTATTCCTAAATTTAAAGCTAAGTGTCAACACTAGATGGACACAAATTGATCTTGCAAGAAAATGAATTTTGTCATCAATAGGATCAACTAGTGTTGGTACTTATGCTTAACAAACGCATTATTCCTAAATTAAAGCTTAGTATCAACACTAGATGGACACAAATCGATTTTGCAAGAAAATCAATTTTGTCATCAATAGGATCAACTAGTGTTGGTACTTATGCTTAACAGACATTCTTCCTAAATTAGCTTGTCTTCCTAAATTAAAGACAAGTGTCAAGACTAGATGGACACAAATCGATCTTGCAAGAAAATCAATTTTGTATTGATCAACTAATGTTGGTACTTATGCTTAATAAACACACTATCCCTAAATTAAAGCCAAGTGTCAAGACTAAATGGACACAAACCGATCTTGCAAGAAAATCAATTTTGTCGTCAATAAGATCAACTAGTGATGGTACTTATGCTTAACAAATATATTATTTCTAAATTTAAAGTTAAGTGTCAACACTAGATGGACACAAATTGATTTTGCAAGAAAATCAATTTTGTCATCAATAGGATCAACTAGTGTTGGTACTTACGCTAAACAAAAACATTATCACCAAATAAAAGTCAAGTGTCAACACTATATGGACACAAATCGATCTTGCAAGTAAATCAATTTTGTCATTTATAAGATCAACTAATGTTGTCACTTATGCTAAACAAACACATTATCACTAAAGAACACTATAAAAATTCAAACAAACAAACCGAAGCAAAATGCAAATGTTGTACATTGAATAAAAGAAATCTAATATATACAATAATTAAACTTTTGGAGGAAAAATTACCTTGACTTTTTTTAATTAGGGATGGAGATGGAAGGGTTGGAGGCAATTGGCTTGATGGCGTCAGAGATTGGAACAACCTTTAATTAGATTGTACCCCTACACTTAAAATTGTGTACATCAAATTTAGTACATTCTATAGTTGTGGAACTTTTTCTTTAAAAAACTAGTTTAACTATAGATAGATAGCACAAATTCTGTTAAAATTAACCTAGCCCCAACCCTCATTTTGGACTCTTAACCAATTTTGAATCATTTTTAGAGCCCGTTTGGATTGGCTTAAAAAAAGTAGCTTTTAAGTCAAAAATAAAAAGTCAAATTGAAATGACTTTTAAGTCGAAAAATAAAAAGTAGGGGGCGACCTACTTTTGGTTTTTCACTTATTTTAGTCATTTTTAACTTATTTTAAGTCATTTTTGACCTTGTCAAACATTTTCTAACTTATTTTAAGTAGGTTTGACCAACTTTTAAATCGATCCAAACATTCTCTTAGTCATATCATTTAATACTTTGAAAATTGGTGAGGGGTGGGGCACAATGCTTCTAGATCCAAAATTGGAGAGAAGTCACTATCATTGTTCATTAATTGGTACTATTGACGTCTACTTAGATTTTTTAGTATCAATGTGAAATTTAATTACAAAAATAATTGCATTTAGGTATAGCTCTTTTAGATTCTAACTCATGCTAATTGATTGGGCTACATATAGGATCGGGAGGTATGACATAGCTTTTCTCTAATTTAATTTTTTGAACATTATTTCAGTATGGGTGTGAAATTTGATTTTTATATTAATATATGGAAGAAGAAAAAAAGAGAAAAAACAAAAAGGGGTTGAAAGTAGGTTGTAGCTTTGGGAGGGCGAATGAAGAGGTTATATATATTGGAGAAATCTGATTATTTCCGATGGAATTTATACTTGTGAAGATGTGACTTTTGTCATCCCTACCATGGTTTCAGACCCAAGTTCCAACACCCTAGTGCTCGATCATCTAATTTGATCCTAAGTTTTTTTTTTTTCAATTTGAATTTGATAGAGATGAGTCAACCATCAGTGGTACTAGCAACGCTTCATTTTTACAACTCATCTGATGGAAGATATGCATGTCTAACCTAACATTCCAACTCAAAATAATGAATAAATAAATTCCAACTCAAAAAAATCAAAGCTTCATTTTTACATGGGCAAGGATTCGTCTGTAAATGAATCAAAAAGACCATGAAAAAAAGTAAACTTACCTTATAAAGAAAATGCCTATCTTGAATTCTGATTCTCACCCCGAGCTGCTGCGACGCGCGAGCTCCTGCGACGGCGAGCTTCTGCGACTAGAGAGCTGCGGCGCAGGTGATCTGTGTGACGGCGAGATCTGCTGCAGCGCCGGCGACCTGCGGCGACGGCGGTGACCTGCTGCGACGGCGAGAGCTGCTGCGTCGGCGAGCGTGAGAGGGGCGAGCAGCGGTTTGCGTGAACGTGAGGGAGGCGTTTGACAATAGGAAAGAACACAGGGTTTTTAGGGATTGGGAAAAATAATTGGCAGCTAATATAAAATTAGTGACCTACGGAAGTCCATAATTGTTTTTCAAAAAAAAAAAATTAATATACCGACCTCACGAATATTTTCTAAAAATTATATATATAAATGTTTAAATTACCAACCTTTTGATGTCGGTATTGTCAAGTAAAATTATTAAATATCTTTAATAAATATCGACATTGAGAGATCGATATTGTTTAAATTAAATAATAATCTAAAGATACCGACCAATTGAGATTGGTATTGCTTAATTTATTTTAATATACTGCATCTCTTAAGGTCAATTTTATTAATATCTACTACTTATATATATATATATATATTCTCTTATTATATAAGAGGGAGTTTATGATGGGACATTGTGATGTCCAATCATAAACTCCCTATTTAATATATAATATAATAATCATTTTTTCTACTATATAATATATATTTATTTTTCTACTATAAGGGAGTTTATATAATATATAATAATATAATATAATATAATAAATCATTTACAAATGACTTAAAATATTTCATATTTAAAGGATATATAATAAAATAGGTTCACTCTCAAAATTCTATCCGGATCACATATATTGGGACAGAAAAACTAACATATATCATTTTAAAATTACCAAAAAAGTATTATAAATAATAATAATTAACAACTTAAAATATCTTAAAGACATTTTAAAAGGGTTAATTTTGTAATTGTAATTCTACTATTATATAAGAGGGAGCTTATCATGGGACATTCTATGTGTCCCATCATAAACTCCCTATATAATATATAATATAATAAATCATTTTTTCTACTATATAATATATATAATATATATTTATTTTTCTACTATATAATAAAAGGGAGTTTATTATATAAACTCCCTTTTATTATATAGTAGAAATAAATAATATATATATAATATAATATAATAAATCATTTACAATTGACTTAAAATATTTAATATTTAAAAGATATATAATAAAATAGGTTGACTCTCAAAATTCTATCCGGGTCACATATATTGGGACAGAAAAAATAACATATATCATTTCAAAATTACCAAAAAAGTATTATAAATAATAATAATTAACAACTTAAAATATCTGAAAGACATTTTAAAAGGATTAATTTTGTAAGTTTATCCATATCACATAAATTAGGACAAAGTGACCAGCAATGTAAGTTATTTGAAAGTTACATAAAAATATTATAAATCACAATAATTAATAACTTAGAACATTTTTTTTAAAATGCAAATTTGGATGACTCTTCAAATTTCATTTGTGTCACATAAATTGAGACAACAAAAATAACATATATTGCGTCCATTTTAATTTATTTGTCTTAATTTTTTTTATATTTAAAAATTGCGTAAAAATACTATAAATCATGATAATTGACAACATAAAATATTTCAAAAATAAATACATATAAAAAAATTCGATTAATTCTTGAAATTAATCTATCGTTAAAAATTATGTATAAAATACAATAAATCGTGATTTTGACCACTTAAAATATTTATTAAAAAAACAGAAAAAATAAATTGACTGATTGTTAAAATTAATCTATCAATGTCACATAAAATGAGACAAAAGTAGTAATATGTATTGTTTAATATGAAATTATTGAAAACTACGTAAAATGTATTATAAATGTTAACAATTAACAACATTTGATTGAATCTTGAAATTTTATCAATGCTACATATATTCAGACAAGTGGAGTAATATATATTAAGTATTTAAAAATTACGTACAACCATATTGCTTTTTGTAGGCTTCGAATTATCGTGGTCATTTTTTAGGCTGATACAAGTTTCGTACTTTTTTTTAATATTATAAATCGCAATAATTAATAATTTAAAATATTTTAAAAAATATATTAAAAATTTAGTTGGTTTCGGGAATTTTATTTATACTATATAAAATGGGACAAAGGAAGCAACATATATTATTTACAAATGACTTAAAAAGCATTAAAAATTACAATAATTACCAATTTAAAATATTTAAAAGCTATATAATAAAATAGGTTCACTCTCAGAATTCTTTCAGGCTCACATATATTAGGACAGAAAAAATAACACATATCATTTTAAAATTACCAAAAAAGTATTATAAATAATAATAATTAACAACTTAAAATCTGAAAGACATTTTAAAAGGGTTAATTTTGTAATTTTATCCATATCACATAAATTAGGACAAAGTGACCAGTAATGTTGGTTATTTGAAAGTTACATCAAAATATTATAAATCACAATAATTAATAACTTAAAACATTTTTTTTTTAAAAAATTAAAATTTGGATGACTCTCCAAATTTTATTTGTGTGACATAAATTGAGACAACAAAAATAACATATATTGGGTCCATTTTAATTTATTTGTCTTATTTTTTTGGGGGTTTTTTATATTTAAAAAATGCGTAAAAATATTATAAATCATGATAATTGACAACATAAAATATGTTTTGAAAAAAATACAAAAATTTCCACTCATTCTTTAAGTAAATCTATCGTAAAAATACTATAAATCATGATAATTGACAACATAAAATATTTCAAAAATATTGTATGTGGATAGTCTTATTGTGCCTTGAATAGCGTCAAATAAAGTACAAGTTTGTGATAAAAAAACTTATTCCTTTATCCACGCAAACAATCGCTTCAAAATCTCCGTTATTAGCCCCAAAACATACCATTTATATTATTGGGCCGCACGGGCAACATTACCTAGTATTACTATATAAGAAGAGTGAATAAATTCACTCCTCTTTCGACACGTGGCACCAAAAAAAGGAGAGGGTTGAACATAAGTGTGAATGTGAGGGTATTTTAGGTATTTAAAAATACCCTCACATTCACACTTATCTACTAAAAAAAAATTACTATATAATATATATAATGTATAATATAAGTACTAGATAAGTGCGAAAGTGAGGGTATTTTGGGTATTTAAAAATACCCTCACATTCACACTTATCTACTAAAAAATATATATATATAAGTAGTAGATTTAAATATATTTAAAAATAATATAAGTAATACTATACTTAGTATGCTTAAAAACAGTAAAAACTACATAAAAAGTACTACATATCATATTACAATAATTAACAATTATTTGACACTTTCAATTCTATCAATGCCATATAAATTAGGATAAAAAAGGTAACATTTATATTAAAAATAATATAAGTAATACTATACATTACAATAATTAATAGCTTAAATATTTAAAAGTTATATAAAAAATTTAATTGACTCTCTAAATTCTATTGCTACCACATAAAATGGATTATATGATAAACATATATTGTTTGAAATTGACGAAAAATAAACTATAAATTACAATAATTAACAAAAAAAATTGTCGGCTCCAAAAAATCTATCAATTAAGAACATATATTGTTTCAAGTTGACGAAAAAGAAACTATAAATTACAATAATTAACAAAATAATTCTCTCGACTCCAACAAATCTATCAATTAATGCCACATAAATTGGGACATGGAAAATAACATATATTCTTTAAAAATTAAGTTCAAAATGTACTATAAAATACAATAATTAACAACTTAATATAGTAAAGAGACATATAAAAAATGGTTAATTTTTGAAATTTTGCATGTGCCACATAAATTAGAATAAAGAGAGTAATAAATATTATTTTCAAAATTCTGTGAAAAAAAGGTACTACAAATCACAATAGCTAACAATTTAAAATATTTTTAGAATCATATAAAAATTTCAATAACTTCTCAAATTTTATAATATATGACATAAGAAGAGGGAATAACCAATATATTTATAAAAAAAAATGACATATAAAATGAAATGGACAGAGTATTAGTTTTTGAAAATGGAAAAGGACAAAACACATATAAAATTAAAAGACATATAAAAAAAAATTGGTTTAACTCTCAAACATAAAAAGTAAATGTGTTTTGTCCTTTTCCATTTTCAAAAACTAATACTCTCTCCATTTTATTTTATATGTCATTTCTTTTTATAAATATATTGGTTATTCCCTCTTCTTATTGGAACACATGTTGACTTGTGGTGCTTTAAAAACTTTAATAAAAAGTACTATAATTTACAATAAATAATAACTTAAAATATCTACAAGACAACAAAAAAAACTAATTTGTGTACTGCTTGTGTCACATAAATTAGGATTGGGATGATTTTAAAATTTTAATTTTGGTTATACATTATAAACTAGCCGAAAAATTGAATGATATAATTTTTTTAAAAATAACCAAATGAATCGTCCTATCGATAACCTTAATGTTACTTCTACTCTATTTATTTTTACTTAAATTTAGAAAGATATGCTTCATTTCTACCCTCAATCTTATCGCTACATTTATTTGCTATTTAAAATTGAAATTAAAAAGACAAATGACAAATAAGTTTCTATATTAGCTCACTTATGAGCAAAATATATTATAACAATCTTTACTAATTTTATAACAATACATAAACTATACTCCCTCCGTCCCATATTAGATGGGCACTTTCAACTTTACACGGTCATACATTGGAAGACTTCACCATTTTGCCCTTTGTTTATATCAATGCACATTGAAATTAGTTACAAAAAATACACATACAATATAGGAATGGTCATATTAATTGTAGGGGTAAAATGGAAAAGAATTAATTAATTCTATCCTAATTTAATAAGTGCTCAAATAATATGAAAAAAATATTTTTAGTAAGATTCTCATCTAATATGGGATGGAGAGAGTAACAATATAACTTTATTAATGTTGCTGGTCGGGCTTTCTTTACTAGTATATACATAAGTGGGAATAACCAACCACCACACCTCAACATGTGTTCCAATAAGAATCACTAGTAATATCCAATATATTTATAAAATATACAAGTGGGCCCCACCACCTTCCACTTAAATACTACATATTTATATTAATTACTATACTATAAATGACTTAAATACTCCATATTATATATATTACAATAATTAACAATTATTTGACACTTTAAATTCTATCAATGCCATATAAATTAAGATAAAAAAGGTAACATA